TTCCGGCCCCGCCCCCAGCCTCTCCCCAGTCTCTCCCGCGTCCAGGATGAGACGCCGCGTGCAGTGGATGGCCCTCCGGAGCCAGGCCGCCAGGGTGTGCATCCCAGGGGCCCACTCCTGCCAGTGACCGGTCAAGCCCCTCTCGGGTCCGGGGGGGGTGGGGCGCAGGGGGGCAGGACGGCCCTCCCCCCTGCCTGGGAGCCCGCCACACCTTCTGGTGGAAGATCACAGAGGTGTTCCAGCAGGAGGGGCTGGGGGCGTGAGTCACGTCGGCCTCAGTGATCCTCGCCATCGCCCCGGAATCGGTGTCGAAGGGTCACGCGAGGGGGGGCGTCTCCGAATCCAAGCCTGAGACCGTCCTGGCCTCCAGCCCGTCTTCCGGTCGCATTTCTGTCCCACAGCTTCCCTCTAGTGGCAGCAGGTGGAAGTGCGCGAATGAGGGCGTTCAGAATGAAACGGGAACCACTCTAGTCCCTGGTGTTTCGCTTTCAGATGACCGGCAGATACGAGATGTACGCTCGGGAACTTGCGGAAGCTGTCAAACCCGACTACACCCCCAAGATTGTGAAAGAGTAGCCGCCGGCCCTCGGCCCCCGCCCGCAGCAGGTCGGCCAGGGCGCCAGGCTCTGCCGCGTCCGGCTTCTCCCTGCTGACTCCCCGATGGCGCTGCTGTCCAGGCTGGTTTTAAAAGTGCCCCGGGCGGCCGGGGAGGTTGGGCAGGTGAGGCGGGCTGGCACACGAGCACCAGCTTTCCTTCTCCGGGGATGAAAATGTTTGGGGACTGGGTGGAGGTGAGGGTTGCACAGCACTGTAACACACCCACTGAATTTGTTCACTTTGTCACTTTGAGGTGGTTAGACTTTGTTGGGTGGGTTATAGAAATTCAATTAAAAGATCATCCCAGGCACTGCTTGTGCAGGCTGGTTTGAAGCGAGACAGATGGGGGACTTGCCTGGTGGCTCAGTAGTGAAGAATCCACCTGCCGATGCAGAGGTGGGTTCCACCCCTGGACCAGGAAGACCCCACATGCCGTGGAGGAAGAAGCCTGCGGGCCACAACAGCTGAGCCTTTGCTCCGGGGCCTGGGAGCCATGAACGCTGGAGCCCATGCTCTGCCACGAGAGAGCCTTCCGTCTAGATCGACGTCTGCGGACGGAGACAGTCGTTGGAGGCCGCCACCTTGGCCGGGCTGCTGTCTCCATTTACCCAATCAGACGCTAACCTGTGAAAAAATTTAGCCAATGTGATTTAAGCCTGTAGGCAGTTAACCAGCAAGTGAGATTATCCTAGATAATCTGGGTAGCCCTGATTTAATCTGGCTGAAGGCCCTGAGAGGAGAGCTGGGAATCCCGGACGAGGAGGGAATTCTGGGCGTAGACCTCAGCCTGCACTCAGCCCCAAAGTTTGAAATACGTCCTGCTGCCCTTCTTACCACTTCCGTCCAGATGTCTGCAGGAAGTGACTTTTCTAGGGACAGGTGCATGCACTGACCACACTGCTTTATGAGGGTGAGTGGACCGGGCGGCCGAGAGGGAGGCCGGGCCCGTGAGGAGGCCCTCCCCTGACAAAGGGCTCGAGGTGCCCACAGACAGGTGGCAGGGCGTGACTCCCGCGCCTCGTTGATCATCTTTTGTGATGAAAGGTGCACCCTCGTCAGGGTGCAGGCGGCCCTGAAAGCCAGGAACACCACACAGAGGAGTTTTAAGGGCCACAGCAGTGCACCGAAAGTTGTCTGATCGGATGGGAGCAGCACCTCCGTGACCCTAACAAACGTCCACTGCGGAGAGCCCCAAGAGCCAGTGGGAGGTGTGATGGAGCTCGGGGCGTGCTGCACAGGGCTGAGCTCTGGACAAGGCGCCCTCCTTCCCTGCAGGAGAGACGGGCCGGCCCTGGGCCAGAAGCACCTCTTGGCGTGCGGCGGCAGCCTCCGCGTCAGAAAGCGCCACGTCCTTTGTGTGGGGCCCACAGTGGTGGGGGCGCCGCCCTGCCCAGCCCAGGGCCGGGCCCAGGTGGCCGGCGGGCGGCGCTAAGGTGCAGTCACCAGCCTTGTCCCAGCGGGTCCCATTGGGGTGGGCAGGCTCTCGCCTTGCGCCTTGACGTGACTGGACAGTCTGACGTCTTCTGGGCGGCAGAGCTGGTGAAAGCACAGCAAAGCTTATTGGGCAGGGGGCCGGCTGGGGCTTCTAGCCAGAGCGCAGCACCCACGCCCACTTCTGGTTCGGGTCTGTGTGGCCTTGGGTGAACAGCTTGGCCGCAGGTGGACCCGTCGGATTTCAGCTTAGTGGTCCCACCAGCGAACAAAACCCTGGCGTTTGGGGGAGTTGGAGGTCACCATGGAGCCAGTGGCTTTGCTTTGGTGGGAGGAGCTGGTGATCTAAGTCCCCAGAGGATCAGCAGGCAGTGTTTGCCCGTCTGCTTGCTCAGCTGCCCCATGGCACGTGGGATCCTGTTTCCCGATCACACCTGCAAGCCCTGCATTGGAAGGTGGGTTCCCAACCACTGGGCCACTAGGGAAGTCCTGAGTGATGAGCTCAGGCCAGTGGCTCTGGGCCGCAGTCTCCTCAGACTGCACCAGGGCTTACCCAAAGGTCAGCATCATTCAGAGAAGACCGGGGTTCCATAGAAACGAACTGTGTGGCAAAGCAGTTTGGGGAACCCCTGAGTCAATGGGGTCCCCGCACTACAGGATCAGAGCCTTTTCTGCACCTGCTAACTGCCTGGGCGGGGGCTGCGCACGCCCTGCTGGCCGAGCGGGCTTGCTCACAGCACTGTCACAGTGAGCTCCGCACCTCTGGCTCTCAGCACAGGACTTTGGAGATGACGGTCTCCGCAAGGTTCCATGCGCTGGTCTCGGGACCCCTCGCGACCTTTGTCACCTCGTGTTCGCGCCCGGTTTCGACCTCTCCCCCACCCTAGCACCTCCGGTCAGGTCATGAGGCCCCCCGGGCGGCCAGTGGTCAGCACACCTACGTGTGAGCGCAGGAGCGGCTGTCCCAAGGGGACTGGGACCACAGGGGCGGGCTGGGGGCTGCCAGCGTTTTCAGTGAGGACCATGTTTATTGAGAATGGCTCATTACAAACGAGTTAACACGTGTAAAAATCCCTGTGATGCAAAAGATCCCTTTCGCCCCCAGGTGGCTGGGGAGACAGCCAATGATCCAGCGCGCCCCCCTTGTGCAGCCAAGGGGTCACGGCGTCACGTGCCGAGTCCTGCTGTCTCCAGCCCCGTTTTCATGATTTGTGTGTGAACAGGACATGACGGCGAGGTTTGCGTCCTGCCTGAGACCCCTCCAGGCAGGCGGCATCGGCCCTGGGGGCAGGCAGCTCCTGTGAGCCTTCCAGATGGGTGACCTCTAACCTGCGGCTTGCCCCGAGAGGCCCGCTCCTCCGCCCCAGGGACAGCGTCTCTGATGGACAAAGGCAGTGTGGCTTCTCTGTGGAGGCCGCTCCCTGGGCAGCCCCCGCCGGCCCGAGTACAGGCCTCACCAGAGGGCGGCCGCCCCCTCCTGTCGCTGTCTCCCTGGACACTGCCACCCTTCCCGGGGTCACCTGGAGCCCTCACGGGGGCGCCCAGCCTGCAGCTGCCACGTGGGGTCCTCCCAGGCATGGGAACCAGGGCTCTGGGGGTCTCGGGCCACCCAGGGTTAAGGCAATGGGGACGATGGGCCTGCAGGCAGTGCTCGCCTCTGAACCCAGGGCAGCTGCCTCGCCAGAAGCGTCTGCCTGTCAGTCAAGGCTGCTGGGTGGAGGAGCGGTACAGCTGGGTGGTCCTGGGTGGTCTGCAGCCCAGGGAAGGGGCAGCCGCCACCCCAGCATCAGGCCTCCGGCACCAGACGACAAAGACTTAGGTGCTGTGGCTGACGGGGGCATCCTGGCCCCCCGGCCAGAGGTAGCCTGGGGCAGGGGTGGGAGGTGTCCCAGCCCCTTTTGGGAATGACCCATTTCCCTTTATTTCCAGGAGCGCAGACCCAGGTTCAAGATGCAGCCCCACCGCTGTCCTGAGTCAGGTTCTGGCTGTGGCGAGAGGCTGGGGTGCCTGCAGCCCCAGGTCCCCTTGGCTTTGGAAGAGACCCTGGCCTGGCTTATCTGCCCGTGAAGAGAGGTGTCCGTGGTTCCAAAGTACCTGCAACCCCACTATTATTGTCTTGCTTGAGGTTGAGTCTCACCTTGCCAAAAGTGAAAACTTCAATCTCAAAAAAAACACCCTCCCCCGGCTAAGAAAAAGACTGAAGCCTCACACACACACACACACACACACACCTCCCCCGGCTGAAAAAGGAAGAACAGAAGGCCGCTCTAGTCCACGGGAGGGTCCATGCTGTGCAATCCTGGGCTCCGACTCCCTCTGCTGAGATAGACCACCCGGCATTCTGTCGGGGGGAGGCCACAGGCCGCCCCCAGCCGATTAGGCCTGCAGGCCCAGGGCCCCAGCACCCAGCCCTGAGAGGTGGGGCTGCCCGCACTTAGAGGCAGGAGGTACCAGGCTGGGGGCGGGGAGCGTCTTTGGGGCCCAGGCTGCTGGCCCTGGCCCTCGGGGTGCCAGTGGGAGCCAGCGTCCTGCCCACAGCCCAGGTGTCCCCTTGAAGGAGGGCCGCAGGGGCCTGAGGGCTTTCTGCCTGAGGTCCCGCCCTCCCCAGGGGCCAGGGGCCTGGGGCCTGGCCACCAGCCACAGGGACTGGGCCCCCCGGGCAGGGGCGGGGCAGCAGGCCCAGGGCGGCAGCTGCCTTTCAGATCCCAGGGAGGCTGGGGCCGGCACAGCCCCGGGGCCCAGGCTGGCTGCGGTCTCCACACAAACAGACCCGCAGCCTCTCTCTTGGGGCTGGGTCCCAGGTCTGTGGGGAGACGGGCTCCGGCGTGCCTGTGGGGGCGGACGTCCCGAGTGCAGCGGAGCTGGCCTCAGGCCCAGGGGATGACGTCAACAGCCAGCAGGGATGCGGCGCCTCGTCCGAGCCCCGGCCCCAGGCCTCCAGGGACAGGGCAGGGCATAGTGGGCTCCCGCCGTCAGCTGTCCACGTAGACGAAAAGGATGTCCTCGTCCGTGCCGTAGCTGGTCCTGGCCTCCTCGAAGTTGCTGATGCTGGCGCTGCACATTCCTGCTGCGGCAGGACGGGGCGGTCAGCGAGGGGACGCCCTCCCTGCTGCCGCTGCGGCCCTGTGAGCCTGTCCTCTGAGCTTTCCCCGTTTCAGCAGGAGAAACAGAGGCCCAGAGGGGAGGGGACTCGCTGGAGGCCGCAGGGTGGTCCCTCCCTGTCCCCGGGGCCGTGGGGGGTCTGGGCGGGGAGTGGTGGCCAGGGCCAGGGCCGGGCAGACTTTCCTTTTTTTCTTTCAGCCCCTCTGTGCAGCGTTTGGGCTCTCAGTCCCCTGACCAGGATCCCCGGGCCTTCCTTTCTAGCGTGGAGGGCCAGCCTGCGGGCTGGGGGCAGCGGGAACTGTAGCCCTGGGGTGGGCCCTGGGTGGGGGCAGAGGGCTGGCCCGGTGACGGCCTGACGGTTGGGCCCCGGGGGAGTGGGGGCTCCGGGGAGAAGGCAGTGGGGGCCCGCCCTCTCCACTCACGGTCAGCGTATGCCGGGTTGTTGTAGAAGATGCAGCCGGCGGCCCGGCTGTAGCCGCGCAGCACGATGAAGTGACCCTGGTAGTCGGGCGAGCGGCAGAAGCAGCGGGGCCCGCCGGGAGTGAAGCAGCAGTACTTGGGGGGCCTGGAGCAGGCGTCGCAGCGCAGCACGCCCGAGTTCACCAGCACGATGGCCACGTGGCCCTGCGCCAGGTGGGCCTGGATGTCCTGCACAGTCACCCTGCTGTGGGGGGTGGACGGGGTCAGGCGTCCGGCCTGCGCTCCGTCACGGTGGCCGGGGCTCAGTGGGGGACCAAGCATGGACCGGAGGGGGGGGGGGCTCTGAGGGCGCCCAGGACATGTTGGGCCCACGGGCGCTTCACAGGGTGACCATACAGCTCCAGACAGCACCCCATCTCTGGACCTGCTCCCCACTGCCCTGGTCTTTCATAAGGGCTGCATTAGTAACATAAACGGGTGGTTTAATTTATTTCCCTGAATCGGAACCAAGTAAGGCTTTACTGGTTTCTAAACCGAGTGCTTCTCTGAAAGGGTTATTTCTCTGAGGCTCCTCGTGGCAGGAGGGGCTCCCCGGGAAGGGCTAGTTGGCAGCACCCGCAGGGGAGCCCTGGGTCAGCCGGCTCCTCCAGACTCTTAGGCCCTGGCCCCTTCGAGACCACCAGGAGGAGGCAAGTACAAGACTGACCCGAGCGGGGTAAGGGCTGGGGAGATTCCCCGGTGCCCTACCATCTTCACTGGGGGCAGGGGGCCAACGCCCAGCCAGCTGAACCCTCCTTGCTTCCAGGCCCCTCAGAGGTGCGTGTGGGCACCTGGTGGCCGGGCCCAGCTCCAGCCCAGCTGAGTCACAGGGCAGCCTGGTCTGATGCCGTGGCCGGGGAAGGGTGCCATGTTTCCACTGGGTCTCTAAGAGGAAGCAGCCGGCTGAGCTCCCAACAGAAGGTATGACCCCGAGGGGGACTTCAGCCACCGGGAAGCGTGGGGCGGGGCTGGAGGGAGGGCCCGGGGTCCGGGTCCCAGGTGCAGGTCAGCGTGTGGCCAGGCCGCTGGGGTGACCGTGGTGCTCACTGCGGGAGGCGAGGGGGGCGGCCCCTGCTCTCCACGCAGCCTGTCAGGTGCCACTGAGCTAACACCGGCCACCTCGCCCTCCGACACGCGCCTTTTCCCTGTGCCCCGAGGGCTGTGTGCCTGGGCCACATGATTGTGAAGTCAGAAGTCCAGGAGACAGGGGACGCAAGGAGAGACTGGCCGGGGGGCTCTGAGAGCGACGCCTGCTGGGCGCAGCGCCCACAGCAGGCTGGGGAGCAAGCTGCTTGCGTCCAGACAGGTCTCCCGGGCCCCCCCGCCCCGTGTGGAGGAGACGAGGGTAAGGTCAGGCAGCCGGGGAGGAGGTCTGGCGCCAGGCCTCCCTGACAGCTGACACCGGGCCTTCCCCACCGCCCTGGATGGCTGCGCCAGCGTGCTCCCAGGTCGTCACCCCACCGCAAGGGTCCCTGCGCTCTGTCCCAAGGCCAGCACTCTCTGAGCAGCCCGAGGGCTGGCTCAGATCTGTCCTGCTCACCTGTCCGTCTGTCCCCCGCTCAGGATCCACCCTAGGTCAGAGTTTTGTGTAGACTAGGTCTCGTAGCCCCCCACCTGTTCCCATTTTCTGGATGGAAAAACTAAGGCTCGGGGGTCGGGGGCAGGGACAAGTCAGTGCCCATGGCCGGCAGGGCGGGAAAGCTCAGGTCCACCCTTTCCCAAGGGAGGCTCCCCCCGTGCCAGCCTTGGGGGAGCAGGTGCATGACGAAGGGCGGGGGGGGGGGACACACACGGACTCACCACTTCTCCACCAGCACCTTGCAGGTCTTGGCCTGTGCAAACAGCTGGTTCACCCGGGTCTCCTCTGTGTCAAAGTGCTTCCTATAGAAGGACTGGAGGGCACAGCAGCTGAAGAGGCCGCCCGTCCCGGCTGCCCTCACCCCCCCCCGGGAGGACGTGAACAGCACAGGGGGCGGGAGTGGACACGGGGGCCCGGCCTGCGGGCAGCAGGACCACCGGAGGCTGGGAAGGATGCCTGGGAGACAGGCGAGCAGCAGGCGCAGGCCAGCACCCTGGTGGTGGGCGGCAGTCTGGACGCCACCCACTCGGCTCAGCCGGCGCGTGTTAGCAAAGGATACTGTTTGGCGCAGGGGCCTTTAGGGGGCCAGGGCCCCAACGGGGGAGGCAGAAGAGACTACTCTGGGGCCTTTCCTACACCTCGAGGCCACGCTGACCACGCCAGAGCCACCAGCCTTTGCCCCTGGCCTGGACGGTTCACAGGGGAGCTAGGTGGACGGGCGCTGGCCCCCGGGTAGTGGCCCCATTGCCCACAAGGCCGGCGGGCACTCTCTGCTCTGCCCAGGTTTGGAGCCTGGGCCAAAGCCTGCCCCTGGGGGAGGCAGGACTGTTCTAGCAGGGCGGCAGAGTGCCCTGAGGTCTCAGCGAGGCTTTGCCGGCATTCTGTTTTTGTTGTCATTTGTTTGTGCTTTTTCTTGTGTTATTTTCTTGACCTTTCCACACGCCACATGGGATCTTAGTTCTCCGGCCAGGGATGGAACCCACGCCCTCTGCGTTGGAAGCACCGAGTCTGACCCGCTGGACCTTCAAGGAGGTCCCTGGCATCCTTCCTTTTTTATAAAAAGGAAAGACAGTAGATTTTCTTTTTTTTTTTCCTTCCAGAACACCAGGGACCCAACTTGGAGCGGGCTGTCCCTGTAAGGAAGAAAACTGGCAGATGACGGCTGGAGGGAGACAGGGCCCCCTGAGGCCCGGCCGGCTGCTGCTGGGACAGAGGGATGGACGGTGAAGGCTGCCTGGGGCGCCTCTGCAAGTCGGCAGGCGCTTCCAAGACAGGCGGGGGGGGGGTGTGTGTCTCTCTAGGTGGAGGTGTCTCTGGGGGTGGGGTGCCAGGAGCGGCCCGGCTCACCACTCAGGGCCTGAGTAGCCTGTCCTGCCCGTGGCATGTCCGCCCCGGCCCCCTGGTCCCGGCACCTGGATGGCCGCAGCCGGCGCACCTGGTTCTTGTAGCCCTTGTCCACGCCCAGGGTCCGGGTGCAGAAGCGGTGTCGCACGCCGAAGCGGCGCATCAGGTAGGCCAGGTCGATGGTCCAGATGCTCCTGGTAAGCCGCAGCTCCTGCAGGGCCCTCTCGAACTCAGCGTCGTCCAGCTGGCCCAGGTACCTGCAGGCAGACTGGCTGCTGAGCCTTGGGGCGCCGGCATGGGGCAGCACTCCCCCCGAGGGCCCCCAGGAGGCTGTGCCCTGCATCGTGAACTCCTAGGTCCTGACCGCACGCTACCCAGGGCCGCCCAGACACCACGCAGGTCCTCGTGCGGGCCTGACTCTGCGCCTGGCATCTCTCACGGGCCCTGTGACTCTGGGCCAGTTGTCAGCCTCTCCAGCCTCATCTCAGGACCGTCTAAGTGCTTGGAACACATCTCGTCACCGATTCCCTGAGCATTAGGCACAGAACACCTGTCTTGCCTGGACTTCTGGGCAGGGGGAGCAGGAGGCTGCCCTGCCTAGTGACCCCGTCTTCTGAGAGTCTGAAGTCGGGGGGTGCACGAGGACCCCGCGTCTCGGCCATGGGGGTAACTCTGTGGGGTGGGCCTGGGCACCTGTGACTTCCTGGCTGTTCCAGACCCCCGGCATCCTCCGGAGGCAGACCTGGGGGGCCCGGCCCGCCACCCCTCGCTTCCGCAGGTGAGGTGGAGCCTGGGTGGATGCTGGGCCTCCCCCAAGCCCCAGCTGGAGACAGCCACCTGGATGACGAATCCCACTGGGGGCTCTCCCCGTGCGCCCCTCCATCAGAGGGCGGGCCCTGTGCACTCACCGGAGCACCATCCTGGAGCAGGCCAGGCCACAGTCCCAGTGGTAGAGCTGCTGGATGATGGGCACCGGCAGCTGCACGAAGTCGCCTGCGTGGGAGGAGCACGGGCGTCACCGTGGTGGGGGGGCACGGGGGGCACGGGGGGAGCACGGGGGGGCACGGGGGGCAGAGGGTGGGAGGGTCACGGGGTGGGAGGAGCGCGGGGGGGGGTCACGGGTGGGGGGGGCATAGGCAGGAGGAGCACGGAGGTCACGGGTGGGAGGAGTATTGGGGGGGGTCACGGACCCTCAGCGCAGTGCCCGGCCGCCAACCCACTCCCACTGGAGCCACCGGTGCCCACTCAGGTCCCACAGGGGCCACTTGAGGGCCAGTCCACAGCCTTACCAGGCCCCCAGCCCACTCTCCTTGCCACAGCAGCAGTCCCCGAGACGCTGGTCTAGGGGGGCCGGCCGTGTGCACAAGCCTCTGGCGGGGTGGCTCCCAGCCCCCCAGGACAAGGCCTGTGTGGCTGCTGCCAGAAGCCCACTGCCACCCGGCCTCCGCCTTCACGCGCCCCAGGGCCTTTGCACACCCACTCCCTCCCGCCTGGACTGGCTCAGCCTCCCAGGCCGTGGAGCCAAGTCCTGTCTGCGGACGTCACTTCATGACGCTGCCCCCATGGTGCACGCCCCTGCCTCCGCGGGCCCTCTCTGGAGCCCCTCTGTGGCGGGGGGCTCCCGGAGGCACTCAGCAGACGATCCTCTCAATTCCCAAAGCCGCTGACTGCACAGCCCCCAGGGTTACGAGCAGGGGGCAGTCACGTATCAGCCAGGGCTGGGCTACCCGGGGCGGAGCAGCAAGGGCCCGGCCTGGGCGTTCTGGTTCGGGCTCTCCTGCTGGCTCGGGCCACTGACTTCCACATGTGGGCCGGGTCTGGCCGTCCCTCAAGTGCGGACTTTGGTCTGATTTCCCTTTCAGTCAACAAACATTTCCCCAGAGCCCCATGAGTGCCCAGCCTGCGGACTGGCGACTTGGTGAGGAGTGCCCTGGCAGACGGTACACACGGGGGGCGCAGGAAGAAAACAAGGGGCCAGGCCAGGGCCGTGCGGGACACGCCTTCAGATCAGAGCGCGGGGCCGCGCGGGACGCGCCTTAAGACAGGAGAGTAAGGGGCCTTGACAGGCCCGCGGCCTGGGGGACCCCCCTGCCCTGGGGTCCCAGGAATGTGCCCAGAGCTCAGAGCTGAAGAACCGGCCGTGACACTCTGCTCGTTCAGGACACCCTTTCGGCTCCCGTGGTCTCCCACTCGGGGGTCTCCAGGTGACACTCCTGAACTCACAACTGGCCTGCGCAGAGCTGACCCCCAGCACCCCTCCCCACCCCGCCCCTACATGCACCAACCAGGAGGGCCGCCCGGGAGCCCTGGGGTCCATCCTGGCCTTGCAACCTGCGACCTCCTGTTGCCTGCAGGGGTCCTAAGCTCCTGCTCTCCCGTCTACAAGCTCCCCTGCCCTCAAGGCCTGGCTCAGAGGACAGCAGGCTGGCCGTGCCCTCGCTCATAGGCACTTCGCCAGCCCAGGCCCACGCTGTGGCTCCCAGGAGGGGCCCCCACATGGACCCCTGCCCTGCTGGGCTGTCCGTGCCCTCTCCAGAGCAGGGCCTGGGACTGCGCCTTGGCTGCACTGCCACAGGCTTCCTGCTCTCCCGCCTCACCTGCAGGGCCCAGGGAAAACAGGGCAGCACGGCTGAGTGCGGGCCGCTCGCTGGCCAAGCTGCCTGGCCCCGGGGGCAAGCGGCGCCCCTTCGGGGGTGCGGCCGGGAGCCCTGCCTTCCATCCAGCTGAGACCAGGCGGGGGCCAGGCTTCGCTCCCTCCTTCCCCTGGTCCCAGGAGGCCCTAAAAGGAACCCAGGCCACTTCTCCGGGCCTTGCGACATCCGCCTCCGCCCACTGCCACAGACTCGGCCCTGCGGGCACCAACCTGCCCGACTTCTGCCTGTCCTCCGCCCCCCCAATCCCTCTCTGGCTTCGGTCCACAACAGCCGCAGGGGTCCCTCCACAGTCTTCCATGGCCCTCAGGAGACAGTCCTTACCCCTTACGAATGCCTGCCGGGCCTGCCCCACTAGCCCCGGGGGAGCTCTCTTACCCTCAGGACTCAAGTCTGCCCCTTTTTGTCACTCAGGTCTTGACTCAAGGTCTTGCCCGCCCCGTGAGATGCGTTTACTGACTGTGCCTTCAGGAGCAGGGGCTCCTTCACAGTACTCAGCAAAAGTGACAAAAACACAAAAAATAAAGACTTCCTGTCTCCCCGCGCGGGCAGAGAACTGGCTCATCCTATGCGCTGCTGTCCCACGCGTGGTGCTGGCTCGCCGAGGGCCCACTGTGGCCTGCTCGGCTCTGGGCACACACGGTGTTGGGACCGAGCTCTGCCGTCCAGGTGTTCACGTCCCAGAGTAATCCCCCCCGAAGGCCGGGCAGAGGCAGAGCGTCTGCAGGCTGCTGTCCCCTGGCGGCCTATGTCCTGCCTCCTGGAGCCCCTCCCGCAGCTACAAACTGCCTTCTGGTTTTTCTCTCCGTGGGCTGTGTACTCCCCAGTTTTGGCTCCTGCATATCCCTCCGTCTGCAAGGCTGTCCCCCATCTCTGAACATCCAAACGTGTCGGTCTCTTCCCCTCCATCTGGAGGACCGGAGCTGGTGTCTGTCTGCCCGCCGGACCCACAGGGAACTCCTCAGTGGCAGGCACGCAGCGTTAGCCTCCTCCGTTTGCCTCCTCCCAGCCCAGACACCTCGGCAGGCACGATTAGACAGTGAATGGAGGGCGTTTTTGTTTTTCTTTCCCTGGAGGGCCCCGAGCCACCGTGTCACCACAGGACTCCCCTTCCCCCAGGCTTCCAGACTGCGGTCCTCTGTCCACAGCGCCTCCTGACTCTGCGGCCCGGGTTCTGGCACTGGCTGGCTGGGCCACCTGTGGCCAGCCTCTGACTCTTGTCTGTGCCTCCCCATCTGTAAAACGTGGCACCGCCCGGCTGCTGGCTGAGGCCCTCAGGAACCCTGCCCCACCTCTTCTCGCCCTTATCTCTTACCCTTTGATCCTGCCCACACCCCTGAGGTGGTTGAACACCCGCCACGGGGCCACCCCCAATCCAGGCACAAGCAAGTCGGCCAACAGGGACCCAGAGATCCTCCTGCGGCGGGTGGCGATACACGCAGGCCTTCCAAGCCCCAAGCTGCTGCCAGATGCCTGGAGCCACAGGCCCATCCCACCTAAGGGCCAGGGTCTGCCTGGAAGGGGCTTCGGCTGGCAGCTGTCCTCAAGGAAGGAAGGCAGTTTCCTAGCCCTGAATACTTAAGCCATCGGTCGGCTCATCTGCAAAGTGCAAATGACAATAGGAACCAGCCTCACCAGAGTCGTTATGAGGATTAATGAGGCCCTGCATGTAAACAACTCCGGCAGAGTGCCTGCTCAGAGAAAGCACCCTGGAAATATGAGTCATTACTCCACTGAGGCCCCTCTGGAAAGGCAAGTGTCTGGTCCAAGATCACAGAGTGAAACAACCGGAGGAGGAGACAGCAAACCCCAGGGACAGCTCTGGACCCAACTCCTTGCTGCAACCACGGTCATGTCCCACGGATGCCTCAGGGCTGGGGTCTCCCACGTGTGGGCACCTCACTGTAGAGTTCACCGGCCCTTTCTCATTAACTGTGTGCCGCAGAGAGGACGGGAAACCACTGCTCTCCCCTCTCCCACTCAGAAAAGCACGCCGAGGCCGGCCACAGAATTATCAGTCTGTACCCCAATGCCCCCCAGCAAAGGAACTCAGGGGCCTGGGAAGGAGGAACTAAAGGAAGACCCCATAGCAAGACAACACGCAGAAGTCTGGGAGGCCAGGGGCAGGAGGTCCGTCACTGCTCTGCGATCCCTGCCAGTTGCCTGCCCCTTCTAAGGCCTCAGTTACCGGAAGGGGGACAGGGTCTCCCCGAGGCAGCTTCAAAGAGGACTTTTCCCTCCTGGGAAAGGTGACCCCTCCCCCCGCCCCGGGTGCTCAACCAGGACCCTCCTTCCCTCCAAGACCGCAAGCGAGAGATGCCCAGGGGTGTCCCTGCTCAGGGAGTTGTCAGGAAAACAACAAACAAATCTTAAGTGGTCGTGGCCGCCGGCAGGCCCGGCCAGAGCGCACACCTGGCCAGGTTTCGCTCAGAGCTCAACAGCCGGGCAGCGGCGGCGGTCGGCCCAAGGTCGCGCGGCCGGACCCTGCCCCGCTCTCGGGCGGGGTTCCCCCCCCCATACCCCATCCCCGGGGTGAGGGCTGGCCCCCACCCCTGATCCCCGAGGTCTTGCCCCGCGCCCACTGCGATCGCCGGGGTGAGGGCCGCCCCCCGATCCCCAGGGTCCTGTCCCGCGCCCGCCCCGATCCACGGGGTGAGGGCTGACCCCGGTCCCCAGGGTCCTGCCCCGCGTCCACCGCGTTCCCCGAGGTGACGGACGGAGCACACTGACCGGGTTCGAGCGGCGGCCCCGCTGCCTCCGCGTCCACCTCCGTCCTCATGACCCGGGCGGCGCGGGGCTCCCATGGCCCCGGCCCGGCGCCGGCTGCAGCTCTGGCGTCTACTGGGGACGAGAGCGCGCAGCTCGCGCGCGCCGGCTTCCCGGGCCGCCAGCACCAGCGCCCCGGGGGAAGAAGGGGCGGGAGGCGGCGGCGGCCCCAAGCCCCGCCCCGGACCGCCTCCGGCTCCCACGCCGGCCGCCCCCCGGGCCGCTCCTCCGGGTCCCCGCTTCCCCTGACCGCACGCCAGGGGCACTCGCCTCGCTCGGGGCGCCCCTTCCCCGGCGCCGTCGGCTTCCCAGGCTTCCGCTGTGGGGGCAGGTCCCGGCCCCGGGCCTCCGCGCCCGCCGCCCCCGTCGCCCGTCTCGCCGTCCAGCCCCCGTCTGGCGGCGGGTGCTGGGGAACGCGAGTCCCCCTCGGCCCGGGCCGGCCCGAGGGTCGCTGTTTCCGGCGGCACCTGGGTCCGGTCATCGGCCCCGCTCTTCCCCGGGCCCGGAACTATTGTACCCGAGCTCGGTTCCCCAGCCGGCGCGATGAGGATGAACGCGAAGGCGAGAGACCTCGCCCGCCGCCACTAGGGAAAAGGAAGGGGGCGGGCCCTGCGCGAGGCATTTTGGGAACGCGTGGTATTCTGGGAGCGCGCGGCCCGCCATTCGAGCGCCTCACGCCTTCGCAGTCACTGGAGTTCCGTCTACCCTGCCACCTCTAAAAGAGGAGACCGGAGCCGGTGAGGAGAGGGCCGCCGGGGCTGGGGCGGGCGAGGGCTAGGCCGAGGTACCCACGAGGGGCGGGGGGTCTGGAGGAGGACGCGCCGCCGAGGAGCTCTGCGGTGCTCGGGGACGGAGAAACGCGGGAAGCCCGGCCACCCAGACCCTCAGCCGCGCCTCAGAAGCGCCTGGAAGTGCGTTCGTTAGCTTTTCCCCCGAAGTACTTGCTCTTCGGTTTCCGAACCTCTCCAGGCCGGTGTTTCTCCATGCAGTGGTCTTGAGATCGTTCCTGGCTTGTGGCCACCTTCCCCCGAAATCCCTACCTGGGTGATTTCTTTTCAAAGCCCTTTGCATCTCTGCCTCCCTCCCCCTTCCAGGACCTGATCCCCTCACGCTTGAAACACAAGTTATCAAATTTCCTTGCTTCTAAATCGTGTTCGATGCATTTTGTAACTTCGGCAGCCCTTCCATTGGTTAGTCTGTGTGCTGCCCCGGTTCCCCCAGCTGCGTTTCAGCATTGTCCTCACCAACGGAACCTGTTTTTTCCTAACCTCTCCCGGTCCTTTTCTTCTCTTGACTACACATAGTTGTGTTCCACCCTCCAGCCGCCTGTTGACTGAAAAAATACCGCCACCTAAAAGCTGAGAATTAGTGTATTAGGTGGGAATCATGAGGACTCCGAGCCCGGAAAACAGGATATCTGGCGACCCCAGGGGGAGAGAGAGGTGGGGTGGGGTGTAGTCAGGCTACATACAAGTTTGCAGCAAGGGGCGGGTAATCTGAATATTAAAAGATGACTGTTGAGTAGTGAAGACCAGATCTCCTGCCTGAAAACATTTAACACTTTTCTGTTATATGGGAGGATGCAGGAGTCCGGGCTTACTGAAATCTTTTCTTTCATATGCATCTCAGCTCTCTGGAGCCAAATCCTGCTTTTCGGTTGTTCACATCCTAATTCCTCCTTTATCCTAAGGCGTAAGGTACGGGGGACTGCCTCTGTGCTTCTCACATCCCCCAGCTCCTCAGAACTTGTAGGAAGTAACGGAGGCTGCCAAAAAGCCAGTATGGTTTTTACCTGGACTTAGAAATTTGCATTTGGAAGGCTGGAATACCAAATGGCTGTGCCATGGCTTGTTTACTGGAGAGCAGATGATGTTTCATTTTACAGAAGTTTTTGTTCTACACACTCATCTTGGGATTAAAAAAAAATCCACTTGCTTTTTTTCTCTCTTAATTAGGTCAAGTCAGGGTTTTCCCTGATTATATTTTCTCTCCAGGATGAGCATTTCCTACTTGTAGCACATTGTCACTTTGTGAACACTTGGATATTTTCTCTTTAGCTTGATGGTGAAGTAAGTAGGTCAGAGAGCACTTAATGGGTTGAATTAAATGTACAGCCCCTTCTAGATTTGAGCTTCCCAGATGGCACTAGTGGTTTAAAAAAAAAAAAAAAAGACCTCCTGCCAGTGCAGGAGATGTAAGAGATGCGGGTTCCTTCCCTGGATCGGGAAGATCCCCTGGAGGAGGGCATGGCAACCCACTCCAGTATTGTTGCCTGGAGAATCCCATGGACAGAGGAACCTGATGGGCTACAGTCTATGGGGTCACAGAGAGTCAGGCATGACTGAAGCGACTTAACATGCACACTCAAGGGACTTGTGGTGGAAGGAAAATGGGAGACAACTTTCATTCCCATTAGCTTTCCCCCTGTCTAGCCCCCCTGTTCCTCCCCACCCACATCTTGCATGTGTTTGCCAGGTAGGTCCTTCAAGCTCAGAATTCAGCTAAAAAAAAAAAAAAATAGTGCACCTTTGGCAACTTTGCTGAGTTTTCTGGAGTGTCAGCTTTGAGGGGTTGCGGTGTTTGCCACATGCCTTCTCGGGCTTTGAAAGATGAACTAACTGCTGTCTCTTTCTCGCTGTAGAACTCTCTTCCTGCCAAGATGTCTATTGGCGTGCCGATCAAAGTCCTCCACGAGGCTGAGGGTCACATCGTGACGTGTGAGACGAACACTGGCGAGGTGTATCGGGGCAAGCTCATCGAGGCAGAAGACAATATGAACTGCCAGGTACCCTGCTCTGCACCTGAGGCTGGGGCAAGCCTGAGCCTGTGCCTCGGAGGACAGGAAGCAGGCGGCTGGGGGTCTTTTTGAAGTTCTTGGTCGGCAGTTGTTCACCGAGTGCCTAAGGTGTGCCAGGCCCTGTTACAGGTACCAGAGAGGCGAGCATCGGTGAGAGCCACTTGGAGGTTGAGAACATATAACCTTTTAGAATTTAACTCTTTAGACTACGCGTCCTTTGTTTCTCCCATCCTGTGGTCATCCTCTCACGTATTTGGGGAACCCATTTAAGAGAAGTAGCCCAACCTTCAGTGGAGCTATCAGGTTCAGTACCCGCCCTCCCGCAACGTGTTTGCATGATGCTTTGCAGTTAGCAGAATCTTCTGCTCACATACCGTGGGTATTTCCCATTTATCTTGCAGAAGCAGCTCATGTGATTGCACTTAGAGCAAATACTTGGCCAAGTAAGCAGGTTTGGGTGATAGTTTTATCCATAAAGTGGACAGAATAAGATTACAGGACTCACCTGCTGAATATTACTCCGCTAAGAAGTGTCGGACCCACTGCTTGGTGCGGTTCCCTCTGCATGGCACGTGAACTCATATAGCATCACTTTACAGAGTGTAGGACCCAGTTTCTCCTTAAGAGCTTGGGCTTTGGAATCCGATGTGGGTTTGAATTTCAGTTGACTTTGGGCACGTTAATTACCTCAGTTTGCTCATCTGTAGAAGGCTGTCAGAGTTAATTCTGCAAGAGATGGATTGGGAGAGCTGATGACAGCAAAGGGGAAAGGAGAAACGGCAGGAGAGCTCTCAGTCTAGTGCGCTGGTGGGACATGGGGACATGGGGACGGGGGTGGTGAGTAGGAGAGCCTCACACGGTGACACCGCCCCGAGGAAGCCTCAGCTCAGCCAGCATCGCTAATGAGGCAAATAAGTTATGATTCTTCAAACTAGTGTATCTCATGAAGGGTATTATTCAACCAGTACAATGGTGTGAAAGAGCATTTAATGTGGTAAAGTGCCATAACACAAGTGGGGAGATGCAGAATTCCACAATGTTCCCAGTTTTATGGAAATGAGAACCAGGCTATAAAGAATACATTAAAATGTTTTTAGAAGATTTTGAGGAAGAGCCACATGAGTAGTTGCTTTTCGGTGGGGAATTATATGTGGTTAAATTTTTAAAAATATTTTTCTCATTTTGAAATGACAATCGTGTTAAGTTTGTGATCATCAAAGCACAGTAAATATTATGTTTTAAAAAAAAAAGTAAGGGCCAAATCCAAAATTTTACTATAGTTAAAGCAATGTGCTTCCCAGATGATTTGGCGGGGAAGGTGATGGTTAATGGATTCTGTGGAAGTGATGCTTTGCGGGTGTTGGCATGCTCACCCCTTTGGTGACAGGTCAATGCGGGCCATTTTCTTGGCCATGGCATGATGGTCTGTGGAAATCTCCCGAGGTGTTTTCCCGCGCTCTCCTGGAGAGCGGGCTGCAGTCCTAGCAGCCCTTCACTGCATGCCTTTGTGTCCGTTTGCGTGTGCTTCCTCTCGCCCAGAACCCCAGCGTGGAGTCCATTCTTTAACCTGCAGCGCCTCCAGTTTCTTCAGGTGTACGGGCTGTTCCTCACGGCCCAGCCCAGGGCCCCTCGGTGCGTTTAGCGGTCAGCTCCCGTAACAGTTGCTCCAGGTTTGCTTTTTTACACCGCTGATGACTTGGTGAAGACTGAAGGCCAGGTGTTTTGTTAGCATGTCCCTCGATTGGGGCTTCTCTAATGCTTTCTCCTCATTAGGTTTGCGTTATGCTCTTTGGGGGGTGTAGTGATTTTTGTCTCCTCGGGGCGTCACTCGGGCCCGAAACGCCTGTTTGCCGCTGCTGGATTGTGAGCCGTGATCTTCTGGTTGAGGTGCTGTGTGTGCTCTCCTCTGTGTGTTCCTTTTCCTTTTGTAACTGATGAGAATTTCCTGGGGAGGTTCTGTAAGTAAATACCCTGTAACTTTCTGTTTCCCACTCTTCTCCCAGTGGTCAGCCCTGCTTCCTTCCACTGAAGATTCTTGCTTGAATCTTTGTGTTATTATAACCCTTGCAAGAGTAACTTCTTTTCTCCGTGATGCTCTCTGTGTTAATTGGGTCTGCTCTGTGTGCTTCTCCTACACTCTCCGTTTCTTCATTCATTTGTTTTCCACGTGGGCTCATAGTGTCCGTGTGTTTGTGAAGGGGTTATGATCCGTTGCTACCATTATTACCCCAATGTGAGTAGGCTTCAGCCGGGCGGACACGTGCCGGTTGTGAGAGCACTCAGTCTGAGTGTTGTTGATCTTTTGGAACGGCCTGTCTGGGTTCTCAGGCCGGGCTGGAGGAGAGGCGGCCTGCGGCAGAGAGCCCCCGAACACTGCAGGCCGGCTCGGAGTGCACTTGCCCCTTCTGCAGGCCGGGGGCTCCAGCAGAGGCTGGGGCAGGGGCAGTTAGCACTTGGAGGAAAGCTCAGGTCGGGGTAAGGTGAAGACAAGCGTCAGGAAGCTGGGAGCCAGTGCTCCGCTGTGCGATGTGGGCGTGACCTGTTCTGAATAGACTGTGATCCCTTTCCACCCAGAAGGCTGGTAGAATGAGCTGCCCTTTCTGTTAAACGTGGTGCCAAAAAAAAAAAACGTGGTGCCTGTTGAGATTGGCACGGGCAGGTTTGTGTCGCCATCCCAGGCCCAGCCAGTCTGCTGTCTGGATTCCCCTCCAGCCATCCCCCACTGTCCCACTGCCGGCATATGCACCAGTCCACAGGCTGCAGGGGCCCCTTAGTCTCAGCGACGGCCCTGCTCCTGAGTCCTGAGTGGGCCTCGTGTGAGCTCTCGCCGCACACCCATCCTGTGTTCTGGGCCATCATGTGCGGGCATGGGTGACAGGTGTGGACAGCCCCACATCTGGGGCACTCATGATCCTCGGGATGCCTTTGCAGGCCGATGCGGGGGCATGCGAGGCTAGGCCAGGCCGTGCTGAGCCGCTGCAGTTAGTTCACAGTGGAGCTGCGGGTGGCAGGATCGGGGCTCTGGGGCCAGGCCCAGGGTTCCAGTTAGGAATCTGCATGCTGGCCATTAGGCCTCGGGTTTTTAATCTGTTATAGTGGGAACTCACATACTGCGAGGTTCGAGGTGCAACCCTGCTCCGGTGCACCCCGCTCCAGCACACACTGCCAGCACTCTGGAGTCCCGGCTTTATCTTATGACGTGCGCGTCTGCGTTTCTGGTCTCGCCTTCACGCACCCTGTTCTCTGCTGGTGCCCGTGACCTTACTGACGAGGGCGGTTCCCTTGCAGATGTCCAACATCACGGTCACATACAGAGACGGCCGCGTGGCTCAGCTGGAGCAGGTGTACATCCGGGGCAGCAAGATCCGCTTCCTGATTCTGCCCGACATGCTGAAAAACGCGCCCATGTTGAAGAGCATGAAGAACAAAAACCAGGGCTCCGGCGCCGGTCGGGGAAAGGCGGCCATCCTGAAGGCCCAGGGTAGGTGCTGCGGGCGTGGGGCTGTAACGGGCGGGCGTGTTGTGGCCTTTTAGGAAGGCCCTGTGACCAGGGCAGCCTGCTCCACATCGCTGTCCCCACTTTCCCTGCAGTCTTAGGGATCCCTGGGCCCCGCCTTCTCTGTCTTGCCTCACTCGATCCCACTCAGGACGTACACAAGATCCACAGGGGCTCCGTAGAAGAAACACGAGGTCTTAGATCAGAGTGGATGAGTCCACTGCGGTGACTCTGCGGGGAGCTTGCCCTGAATGGCTGGGGTGTCTCCTGACGCCCAGCGTGAGCGAGAGAAGTGTGGGGAGGGGGTGCCCACAGATCAGAAGTCAGCCATCTGGAGCCATCTTTTACCCATTAAAGGAGGCCGAACGCAATTTTCCTTTAATACGTTCCAGAAGTGGAACGTGGTCTTCCAAGACATGGCCTGACCTTTTTCCCTGGCTTAGCCCAGTCAGTGTTCTGTGTTGGGGTCCTGAAGAATTCTGCTGTGTTGATCGGCTAGGAAACAAATGAGTCGTTAGGAGCACTCTGAGTATTTATCGATAAAGAGCCAGAAGGTCCCTGGATGCTCTGTCATGTCCGTAGCTGCAGCAGGCCTGTCCCACTTCAGGTGGCCTTGGAGCTTGCAGGGGCCTTTAAATTGCCCTCCAAAAAAGCCAGCCAGAGAGCCTCCTCGCCCCTCCCGGCGGGGACCGCAGCGCTGGACCTCCGTCCTGGGGAAGGCAAAGACTGAGCTGCAGCTGCTGTTCTCCGCTTCCTCAGGGGCTGCCCTCGTCACTGACTGCGGGCGCCACGGTCTCTGTCTTTGGGAGGCACTTGCCGGTGGGTCTGCCGGTGCCTCAGCAGGTGGCCCGGTTCTCACAGGCCCGCCCGCCCTCTTGGGTCAGCTCCAGGCTCTGAGGAGAGCGGTGAGGCGCTAGTTAGTCCAGAGGCCGGCAGGGTATTGTCTCCTCTTCGGACCTGAGTCTCAGAGAACGGCGGTCTTCACTGAGAGGTGGTTTGGGGTTTTCATTTGTGGTTCCCCCATCCCCAATCTGAAACGTTTCACACATGCAGAACAGCTCAAAGAACAAGATCCCTCACCCAGATTTAATAGACGTTAACACTTAACATCTGTTTCAGAGTTTTATGTGTGTATTAAATGCGTCTGTACTGTTTTGTTCGCTCACCCTGGGGCAGCTCTGAGAATTCATCTTTTTTCTGGTTCCCAGACAGGCTCCCCAAACCACCTTCTCCACAAGGCCCTACCCCCCAGCTTCTGGTGGACGGGTTCAGGGACCCCTCTCCATCGCTGGCCGGGGCTCTTTCCCCCGTGAAGTGTGACGGGCGGGCTTGCTGCCGGACTGGCGGGCCTTCAGGCCCGTCTTGGCCAGCGTCCTGGGGCCCTGGCTCCTCTGTGGTGAGAGCCCACACTGACCTGCCCCATCCTTTCTCTTCCCTCCTTTCAGTGGCTGCGAGAGGGAGAGGACGTGGAATGGGACGTGGAAACATCTTCCAGAAGCGAAGATAAATTTTATCTGTTGGACAGAACTTTGCTCTTTTTTTTTTTGTTTTTTCTTTTAGGTTATCTGGGTTGAGATGCGTGCCTGTGAATTATGTCCTAGGTTATAATCTGTTGACGTCATTTTCTTTAGATGTGGGTAAAATGTTAAACTAAATAAATATGGTGGTTTTTTTCTTTTTGAGAATCTGAGGACTCTGTGTTCCTTTTGTAGTTTTTTGTTGTGTTTGCTTTGGCCGCAGCTTAAGCTTTTTTGACACCCTAGGAGATGTCCTGGGGAGGTGCCAGCTTGAAGGAGCGTGGTCATTGATAAGCGCGGGGGCTGCCGTCCCAGCCCGCTGCTGGCCAAGCGCTTGGAGGGGCTCTGAGGGCGCACGGGTTCTCTTGGCGGCGCGTGGGCACGTACGCAGCAGCACTCCGTCCGGCAGCCTCTTCGGGAGCACCGTCAGCTTAGCTTGAACAGCAGGACACACAGGGTCCTGCCCTGTGGGGGAAACACCAAGACCCAGACCTTGCAGCCTGGAAGCCCTGGTGACTCAGCATCTAGCAGAAGTAACCTAATATTAGAAGGTCATCCAGAGAGCCCCAGTGGCTCCTGCAGAACTGGCTTCATAAGCAGTTTTGTGCTGACCCAGGGGACAGGTTGCTGTGTGTTTATCAGAGCGCTCGGCGTGGACTGGCACAGCGGCGGCTGCTAACGCAGAGATGGGGTGTGTGACACCGGTAGCTGATGGCGACCCCGAACTGGAAAAGCAGCCTGGAGAAGAGAAGTCGGGCACCAGAGAGGGGCCGGCAGGGCCTGTGTAGGATGAGCTGCGGCAGAAGCTGGAGGCGAGGGGGTCGGCCATCAGCCCTAGAGTGTTGCTTCTTGGACAGATGTTCCGGTGCTGCGGGGAGAGGAGGAGGTCCCCTAGTGAGCTTTCATCCCGAGGTCAAACACAACCACAAGGTGGCGGCCCTCAGATCAGCCTGGCGTGTGGGCAGTGCCCAGGACCGGGCCTCCAGAGCTTCTCCAGTAGGTTCAATGAAGGGTGACTGGGGGCGGCTTCCAGCGAACTCACTGTGAAGGAGTTAGTTTGCTTTCGATGTGACCAAGAGTTCATCTGTTTCTGATAAGAAGAGGAATAGGTCGGTTGAGATGCGCATGGAGATTCCCCTAGAGATGCAGGCTCGGGAACCTGTTCTAAACCGTGCCCTTGCTGTCCCCTCCCAGTGATTTCAGTTCAGTATATCCAAGTCCACGTTCTGACCCTGGTCTAGAGTGTCTTGTTTTATGTAATATTAACTTTCTTGGCCGTGCCCCGTGGTTTGTGGGACCTTGGTTCCCTGACCAGGGATCAAACCTGGGCCCTCGGCAGTTGAGCCCCACCACTGGACCACCGGGGAGCTCCCTGGAAGTTTTATGAGACAGTAGTTACCCTAAAACAGCTTTAGGAACGGTTTGGTATCCTGCAGTTTAGGAGAAAAAGATCCGTTACTCACACTGAAAGAGCAGACAGTTCTGGGCGGTCTCTCCCCCGCTGCCTGTGCCCAGCCCTCTCAGCTCCGGACTGGTTGTCCGTTTTTGCTTCTGTGTCTCCCACTTAAACCTGTTGTGTGGCTACTCCTGATGTTTCGTTTCAGGCATTTATCTTCCCGCTTCTCTGTCCTGCCTACCAACGTGGCCTCCCCTGTGGTCCATCTCCCTGACATTGTAATTCTGAGGAGCTCACGTTCGGTGTTTATGTTATTAGGGATTAGGGCCGGGAGTTTGATTACAGCTGAGCCAGGTGGTAGGTGGGATCACTTTCACGCAGAACTTTCTCTTTCCTAGAATTAATAATCCTCTTATTGGGTCGGCCAGGAGGTTTGTTTGGGTTTTTCTGTGATGAATGAGCCTTTTGGCCAACCCAGTACATTCTTGCTTGCTTCGTTTTCTGTCTGCTTGTTGCCAGTTCAACCCCAGACTCATCTAAAGACATTAATACCACCTCTGTCTGGCCCGTTTCTTCTCAGCTGGCCCCAGGCTGACCGGCTTTCCTCTGTGCTTGCTGTTAGGGGCTTTCCTCTGCCGAGGTCTTCTGCAGTTTGTGTAACGTCTTCCTCCTACCTCTGCTATCGAAGGGGTGTGTGTCAGAGAGCGGCTTGTCCTCATGCTCTGCTGAGGGTGAGGTTCAGGCGGGAGTTCACTTCTGTTAGAATATTAAAGGCATTGTTACCTTTCCGTTGAGTACCCTGTGCTGCCGTGGAGAAGTCCCGGGCCGTTCTGAGCACTGACCTTTGTGCGCAACTGTCCCTCCTGGCTCCCAGTTCCGGGATTCACACCAACGCACCCCAACCAAGGTCTGTGGATGCATTGAACTGGGCTGGTGCTGAATGAACCTTTTCAGAATGGACTTTAATCCTTCGTTTCTGGGAAACTTTCTTGAGTTACTTGTTAATGATTTCCTTCCTTTGGTTTTCTGATTCCTCTTTCTGGAATTTCTATTCAGGTGTCGGATCTCCGGGACTTTGCCTGTTTCACTTCTTTCTCTCCCTGCCTCCCCTGTCCCCCATTGTTTTTTTGGTCTCCTTTGTAAATTTCTCCAAGTTGATTCTCTGAAGGTCCCTTTTTCTTTCTTTCCTTTTTTTTTTTAAATAGGACCTCAAGCCTTCCCTGGGGTCCGGTAGTTAAGACTCCACATTCCCACTGCAGGGGAATTCGAGTCTGATCCCTGGTCAAAGAGCTAAGACCCCACACCCTGCACAACCCTGAAAAATTAAGATACATTAAAAAATTTCTAAATAGAAAATTGCCGTTTAAGAAAAAGAGTAAGGTTGGAAACAGCATGGCATGGTAAAGAAGATACAGGTCAAAGGATGGTGTCGTGGAAAGATAACCGGACCCCGACTTAAGAGATGGATTTGAGCCTGACTGTGTCCACTACCAATTCTCTCTAAGGCTCTTACCTATACCAGGGAGGTTCAGACTCAGTTGATTCATTGATACCATCTCCGCTTCTAGACATACCTGCTGAGTTTTTCGTAACCTTAAAAAAAAATAATAAAGGACACAGGATTTTTTTTTTTCCTGCTTCTGGCCAAGATGGAAACTTATCCTCATGCCTAAAAAAAACAAAAACAAAAACGGGGCATTGAAGGAGAGTAACCCCTGAGAGATGGGAAACACATGAGGTGGTGAGAGCTTCCAGGCCGCGGCAGTGAGGGGGTGCTGGCAGACTGCTCGGGTCGAGGAGTCAGCTGAGAATCCAGAGACACCGAGGCAGCTCATGTTCAGAGGACAAAACAGCAGGGAGAAGAAAGCCACACAGAGGACCCCAGGGGTCTGCAGAAGGTTCCTCTTGAATACCGGCCAGTACACAAGCGTGGGAAACGGGCCAGGGAAGACGCCGTGGAAAAGACATGGCGTCACCCAGACGCAGGAATGGTTCTTGTCCCCGCCAGCCAGAGGAAAGCCTGACTCACGACAGTGGGTGGACTGTTAGACCCAGAATCTTGCTCCAGCTATAATGGGACAGACGTGGAGACGACACTTCCCAAGCGCAGGGGGCATGCCACGCTGCTCGGGGTCACCCGAGGAAACCCCAGCTGGGTCAAGGGCAGGAGGGGAGAGAGGGCACGGCCCAGGGCCTGAGTGTGGAGTCCACGGGGGAAGCAGGGGTGAGGCCGGGTAGGCCGGTTTGCAGACATCTGGAATTGGATGATCTGAACAGAGCAGAGGGCTCCGAGCTGTAGGGGTGGTGTCCGGTTGTGTGGTATCTGGCACGGAAGGTGATGGCTTTGATGGGTGAGTTAAATAAAGGTGGTTGGTTTAGACTTTGGTTTGGTTAGTTTGTATGTGAAAGGTCTGCTCTGCAAGCAAGCTGTTTACTATCTCTAGGAGTCAACTGACTCTAGGAGGGGCAGTCTTTAGTGAGGCTCCAAGATATTAAAATTTTTGAAATACTCAGTGAAAGACATTTAAACATGGATAATACAAAAATATGATATATTTTTAAGACACGTATCCAGGAAAGTCTTGCTTCATATGAACTTTGAGCCCTAGATTGAGCATTGCTCTGTACCCAGCTAACAAATCATAAAAACAGGACTTGAAAGGATAAAGCTGTGTCTAGGTCAATTAACTGTATTCTCCAACAAAGCCCCAAAAGATTTATAAGAACATAAAAATTATCTAGCACCCTACAAAGTGAAATCGACAGTGTCTGGCATCCAGTCAAGGATTACGAGGCATGCAGAGAGCCAGGGAAGCACAGCCCGTAATGAGAATAATCAAAACATTAAAGCTGACTCACATGTTAGAAGGAGCAGAGAAGTTAGGATGGTGGTTTCAGCTCTCTCATACATTCAAAAAGTTACAAGACACACACATGGAAGGTCTGTAAAGAAGGACAAGAGGGGTGTCAGAGGAGGAGAGAGAAGGAAAAGAGAAGAAAGTTCTCACTGAACTTAAGATTCAGGATGGGATTCCTAGCAGATGAGACGCTGCAGCAGAAAAGGTCCATGGATGGAGGTCTGAAGCATAGCTCTAGAAGCTCAGCTGGCGGTGGACCCCCCTGCGAGGCAGGAGACCCAGGCTCGATCCCTGGGTGGGGAAGATTCCCTGGAGCAGGGACAGGCAGCCCACTCCAATGTTCTTGGGCTTCCCTGGTGACTCAGATGGTAAGGAATCTGCCCGCAGTGTGGGAGACCCAGGCTCGATCCCTGGGTGGGGAAGATCCCCTGGAGGAGGCCATGGCAACCCAGTCCAGTGTTCTTGCCTGGGACAGTCCATGGATAGAGGAGCCTGGCGGGCTACAGTTGATGGGGTTGAGAAGAGTCGGACACGACCGAGCGATAAGCACAGCACACATCATAGAAACTGTACAAGAGGAAACACACACAGAGAAAAGGGTTTGAAGGGCATTTCCCTGGTGGTCCAGTGGTTAAGGATTCTGCCTGCCAGTGCGGGAACACAGGCTCGATCCCTGGTCCAGAAACCAGGGTCCCACTTGCCGAGGGACAGCTGAGCCCCTGCACCATGACTACTG